CTCCCGCAAGAGCCCGAAAGCTCAGAATAATAAACAACTTGATCCGTTGCTCAACCTTCCTTCTTCCTCAAGCACAGATTGAACTGTTTGTGATCCACAATCATAACAAGTAGCACCTACGAGGTTTGTCCTGCTATCCCAGCAGAAGAGCATTTCGCATAACCTTAGCTTCACCTTGCAGACTAGAGCTAAGGGCAGACCTTCGTAGCTTCTAAGGTCAAGAAACACACCATCCTTAGCCCGACGCTAGGTTACCCAGCACGAATTTGGACGGTCGGCCATTTGGCTTCGTCTTACAACATAGGTTTTCTGCCTATTTCCTGCAGGCCGCATCGAGAAAATGTCCACTACTTCCAGTTAATTTCTTCACTCGGAGACATTTGCTGGTTTGTCGTCACTGTTAACACCCTGAGGGGGAAAGTCCGTTTTGCAGTGGATTGGTTTGACCGAATTTGTCTACGTCCTTTGTCCTACTGATTCCATAACCCAATTGTTGTTCTCTAGCAGTCATCTGCCGACGGCTAAGCAACTGGCGACTGTTCTGACCGTGTCTCCTTAGACTATATTTGTTTTCTTCTCCTTTAGAGTATTTTATGGTCACGGCAACCTAATTGACAGGACTGTCGAAACCTACCCTTAAGGTGGTTGCCTCTGTGCTTCAATACCAGTTTATTGAGGGGAAGATAGGTGAAAGCCTTTGAGCTCCTTATTAATAACAAGATTCTAGGAAACATATGAATAAAATAAAAAATTGAAAAAGTATATCAATTTCGTGCTTGCAGGTGCGAGCAGAGCAGTTGTTTCTTAGTCTAATTAGTAATAAAACACGACTACTCGCTTAGCACTAATAGTATAATAAGTGTGTGTAATGTCTGTGTGTGTCTGCCCCTTCGATTAGCAGGTGGTTCCGCTCGTACCCTGTACTGCTCGAGCGACTTTCGTGGTACGGAATTCTTCGGAAGCTTACGAAAAAGAAAAAAACCCACTTATTATCATCCTCGTAAAGTAAATTGAACAAATGCGACATGAAGTGAGGACACCGGAGAGACCAGAGGACAAAGCATCAGAAGGAACAGATGGGAACTCATCGAACAACAGCGGCCCCAGCGACAATGAAGATGCTGAGTACTTGGCTCAAGGCTACACTCTGTTGAACACAAATCTTGATTCCACGTCTTCAGATATCAGTGACGAAGACTCTGCTCCAGAGCAGGTCAGAAGACCATCGGTAACCGACACTGGTGTGCTCGAGACGGAAAACAGTCTGGATATTGAAATGGCTGCTTCACATTCCGTCTCTTCCACTCCCGCGCCCACGTTAGACTCCGAGCTGTATCGAATTCTTGAGATCGATAAAATGTATGGACGCTTTCCAGCCCAGGTTAGTCTTTCTCTCCTATCGAAGTGTAGGGGCATTATTATGAATTTTCTTTTAAAAGGACAATGCTATAAGTACGTAAAGTGACACTTAATTAACTTCGTGTAATGTTGACTATGCTATTGAGTTTACAATGTAGTTTATATTACATTGCACAGTTCTCTCAACATAGAGTTTAATTTTTGACTGGTGGTCCTGCTACGAGGTATTTTCGTCTGTCTGTCCGTCACTGAACGCACAACTCTACAATAATGCTTTATCAACTTGCAAGAACTTATTTTCTTAAACTTTCAGGTAGGTATTAAAGGCAGCTTGCCGCTTTTGGACCTCAGTACTGGGATTAACTTTGTGACACAAAACCTTTAGCCCAAGGTCTTAATTGTTCTTATCACGAAGTACAACTTACATTTAAGATCGGTATCATGGTTCGGGAGTGAAGCAAATAGACCCGATGAGGCCGACTTACTACTACCCACGGAATTGGTGCGTATATCGTTCCTACTTATTTCGACTCAGTAGTTTGACTTGATCAAGCTTATCTCAGCAACTTACGGAGAAGACTTAGACGCGATCGCTGGGACAGGATCTTTATTAGTCTGATGTTTTGGATTCCTCCCCGAACATATAATCTAAGACTGTAGGAAACATTAGCGTATGGTATGTCCGGTATATCTGGATTGGTTCCTGAGACAAAGTGCGTGACATTCATCACGTCAATGTCATCTTCGGATTTTATTTGCTCTGAACTGCGTGCCCGAGTCCCCTTCCACCTCCAAGAATTCTGTTCCTGTTGACCCTTTTGTTTCCAGTCGCGTGCACACTGGTATTAAAATTAGTCTCCCTGCCAAGTACCACTTAAGTGGTACTTGAATACTGTCCCACCCCCCATTCGGCTCCATTGCCTTTTAAGACAACTGTTTCAAAAGCTACTTGCTATTGCCCCCTCCCCTGCCCCTCTGGTTCGATTACAGCAGTCACCACCGCTGACATCAAACACTTGCAAATCACTCCCTCCTTCCGACACAGAATCGTCTCTATTCACCCGCCTAACGGTCTTTGTTCCCCGCACCGTGTACTTATTCGCTCCCTCGTTCCTTTAAGACCTGCCCCGTGCGCTTTTGTCTTATAAACTAGTGGCAACGAGTCTGCGTCATTCACGACTGCTCATCTAAGAACCTCGAATAACCACACATAAAGAATATGCGAGCTATATGACTGTCCTTTGACATAACTTCCGACCTCGGGTGCGTATATTCCGGTGACGAAAACCAGCACTGCTTAAAGAAACACTGCATTAACAACAGTTATTCGAGTTATCTGACTGTCCTTCGACATAACTTCTGACCTCGGAAACACTGCAGTACGAAAAGGCCAACAGTAGCAACAGTTTAACGAAAGCTCTTTAGTCAGTATTAATAAAGTGCTTATTTGTCTGACGAGATTGCATCCGACGTTTGTGCACATTGCGAAGTACAATACCGCAATTTTTTCTGATAATGCCCTTCGTATGCCGCGGGTGCCCTCTTGCATCGTCCACATTAGTTAACTTAAATTAGGGAACCGCAGCAATACGCTTTTTCCTAAGTCCTTTATCACAAATTTCCGCCGTTCCCTATTGCAGTTGGGTTATGGAGGCTTTCTAGAAGTTCTGGAGGGGAGGTAGCAAGCCAGTCGGATCCTAACCCTGTTAAAGAAAATGTCCCTTTGATCGCTATTGCTTTTCCATCTAGCCTTGCTGACTGATTGATTCGTGCAAAACTGCTTAATCTGATACATTTTTATGCATGAGTTTTCAGTATTCCCCAATTCTTTACAGATTGAAAGGTAACCATAACACTCTCTTCGTAATTGTTTGTTTTGCTTCACGAACTACCTTTATCGGTCTTTTTAGGGATTTGTGAGACAGCTGGCGCTCGCGTAGTCCACTCCTTATTATCACGCTGTAGATCATATTCATACAAACGTAACTTCCAAGCTAATTTCCAACGTTGTTCCCTTTTTTTCGTGTAGTTCACCTCGATAAACGTTGTTGCAAATACAAAAAAGCCTGATTGTGTCCGCATCAGATTTTTGTAGTCGAACCCCACAATATTTGTGTGACCAATGTGTGTTGGCATTTAATAGAAGTGTGTTTGGTATGAAAGCCTCAGGATTATCTATTATTCTGTCAGCGAGCTTCTAGTTTAATTGTTGACAGTAATTTCGCAAATAGGGAGGGAGGTACAGTTATGAAGGAACGGTTTCATGATTTTTTAATCTCAACTTTGAAAAAAAGGTAACATTCTATCTTTTCAGGAGCACGATATTCCAGACGAGTCTTCGCCAGCACTTCTGTGGAATTCCAAGGTGCCGTCAGAAATATCGAAAATTCCAATGACGGAAGGTAAGGTTTAATTCTTTTAGTACACATTATAGGCGGCCTTTCCTCATGGGGCTTTAGCTAGATATTCTAAAAAAATTTCTTGACTAGAAGGGTTTACATAGGTAAACCTGTTACATCATGCAGCATTTCAGTCACACCAGGATGCCTCCCTTAAAATTACTTTCTTTCGGATCGCCTTCAAAAATCATATTGGGTACAAGTGACTCCCCTATGAACTATAGATTTTTCCTACTCAGTTTCGATGTCCTTATAAATTAATCATTAGTTTTATAGAAAACATGCATATTGTTAGGACCCGCGCCTGGGACTTTTACTTCGAACGAACCGGTTCTCACGAGCCCGTAAGAGCGAGGCAGAGAAAAGACCAGTCGGCCGTGGAAAACGTGCGTTTACTCAGACAAACACGTTATAGCAAGTCCACGAAAGTCGAGTCAAACACAGGGC